CTCACCTTGACAGCCATCAGGAATTTGTTCCAGCTGTCCTTGTTGGCTTCTTTCCCAGGGCGTTTGAACACCACCTTGTTCCTCAGCACAGGGTAGCCTGGGGAGGGAAAGGGCCGCGCCGTGTCAGTGACCTCCCTCTCGGGGCAAGAGCCGAGCCCCATGCCTGCCATGCATCTGTCGGGGCACCCGCTTCCCCCTCCAGCGAAATGCCACCCTCTCTTGGCAGGTGGCAGAGATCTTTCCACCAATATCCCGCGCCCCCCTGCTCTGGGGGGGGCCTAAGGAGCCCCACAGCCCGCCGTTAGTGAGCCGGAGGTGAAAGGGGTGGCCTTTGGGAACACCAAAGAGGAGCTACCTCAAGCACGAAGCAAGCAAACCGCTCTCAACTCTCCTCCAATGAGAAACCAAGAGCAAATTCTGCCGGTGCCTCCTCAGCACCTTCTTTAGTGAGTTGGCAAAAAAGGGGGGGGGAGGGGGAGAAAAAAGGACACCTGAAAGGCGAATAGTTTGGTTTCCGTGTGAGTTTTCGGGAGCCAGACTCCATTGTCTCAAGACGCCTGTCAAAGTCATGCTATGCCACCTATCCTCATGATGGAGGTGGGGGGGGGGGCTCATGAGCCAGGCGAGGATCCAGACAAACTGGTTGACCATCCTGGTGGGTTTGGTTATTCCTGAATTTGGGTTGTTCCAGAATGGCCATGATTTGTTTCTGGGGTAGAGACTAGAGAGCGCTGTTTGATACACAAGTGATGTTACAGAGATTTGAATTATTAATAGGAGCGATTCACAGGCACTCGTTGATGCGGTCTACGCTGCCATCTTCCTCTCCAATTACAGACGCTTGAGAAAGGCAGATTTGGTTTGAGTTTAAAAGCATGGTCTTCACAGCCACAGCGCCTTTCATGGCTGAAGTTTCCGAGGGTACCCGCTTGGGTCTGTTGCAGCAACAAACAACACAAAAGCTCTGGGACTCCTCAAAGGCTAACCAGGGCGGGCTGGCATGCGATTCCAGGGATGGCGGCCCCTTTTTTGTCAGATGCCGGGGGCTGCAACTCATGCCACCTGACGCTCATGGCTGCAATCCACAAATGTTTGTGTTGAACAGTATTTGTTAGCCTCGAAGGGGCCACAGGGCCACTTCCTGTCTTTTACAAGACTCTGTACTCAATTTAGTTTAGCTGTCCAGAGTTCTATTTTGAGCAAAACGGTAGGGTAAAAAACAAAAGCTTTGAGCACCCCCCCCCACGTCCCGCCCAACCTCCCTTGAGGGTGTTTGAGTGAGCTTGAAAGATTGTGATAAACATGTTCTCTGAGTTAGTTAAGAGTAGTGGCTGTTTGTGAATAATTGTGAATTTTCAGTGGCCGTTGCTTGATTAAATCTGCACACCTCTGATTTGGAAACAGCAAAACTGCCAGCCCGGGGGTGGGGTGGGGGGTGAAGCGCACTGATGCCCAGGCCAGGTCACAGCTGGCTCCCTTAAGGGGAGCAAGCAGAGCCAGGGAGGGAAAGCCTTGTGCCTTATGTGTTCAGGAAGAGAGGAATCCTCTCTCCTGGAAGGGAAGGAAGGAAGGAGGAGGAGGAGGAGGCCTCACTGTGGATCCTCCATCTCCGTGACCCCGAGGGATCAGCCCTGCCCCCTCCTCTGCAAGAGGAGGAACTAAACAACAATGTGGCAGCACATTCTCCTTGGGAGGGGCCAGGGAGGAAGGCTGGGCCTGGCCTATTCTCCCCCTGCGGGGGGGGGGGAAGCAGCTTCCCTCCTTCCTGCCATTTGCCATAGGAGAACACTGGGGGGGGGGCGGGGGGCCCTCTTGCAGCCCCACCGCCTCCTTTCCCCACCTTCTGACCTGTGATGAGGCAGGGCAGGGAGCGCACGCCCGTGCTGGCGGCCACCAGGGAGGCTTCGTAGGTGTCGCGCTCATCTCGGGGCAGGACCTGCTCCAGCCGCTGGTCCATGGAGACGGTGAGGACCCAGTCACGGATCTCCTCGCGCTGCTCTTCCTGCCATGGGGAGAGACACAGACCTCTCATGGGGAGAGAGAGCAGGCAGGGCAACCACATGCAGCCATAACACACACCTCAGGTGCCGGCGGGGGTGGGGTGGGGGGAGGAGGCTCCCTATGGCGACCTAAGAGACACCCCCCCTCCTCCTCCTCCGCCTCACCAGGCACAGCTGGGGCGGAGGCTGGCTGGCCGGGAAGGGGCGCACTCACCGAGACGTGCTGCTTGGCTGGCAGGGGGACTTCAAAGGGGATGTCCGTGTTCTGGAAATCCGAGTGGTCCAAAGCGTCCAGGGAGCCCTCCTCAATTGCCTGGACAGAGCCAAGGGCCGCCGTCAGGGGGAAATCTGGCCACCCTCAGTCCCACCCCTGTCGCCACCCCAGGCCCAAGCGGGACTCACATCCGTCAGGTCAAGGAAGCGGTTCAGGAACATGAAGGCCATGTTCTCCCAGCCGACCTCCTAGAGAAAGAAAGAAAGGGAGGGAGGGAGGGGAGGAGATGGTGGTGGTGGTCGTCTGGCCGTCCCTTAGGTCTTCAACCAACAGATCAGGAAGTGGCATATCGGGGGGGGGGGCACGGATGATCCTTGCCGAAGGACTCTGCTGCCTCCCTGGCTAGCGCCAGAGGCGGACAAGAAGGACCTTGCTGGGCACAAGGCCCCTACCCTGTGGCCAGCTTCTAGGAACGGCTCCTGGCCTCCGTCCTCAGTGGGGCTTCTCAGCGACAAAGGCCCTCGGTTCCCATTCCCTGGGTCACCAGTGGCCCACCCACGCTTTGCCTGCAAAACAGGCACCATCCCGAGAAGTCCAAAAGGGCTGGGGACCCTGGAAAGGACGGCAGCCCTGGAGAGGGCCGGAGGCGAGGCGAGGGGGAAGGACATCCCAGGAGGCTGTCGGGCCACCGACTGTGACCCCCTGGGCTGCTCAGAGAGCCCAAGAGGGACCCCAGAGCAGCCTCTTCCTCCGCTTCTGGCCGGCATTCCTGGGACCCTCCGGGGAAGGACTGGCCATCGTCCTGAAAAGCAGCCCCTCCCTCCACCAATCTGCCTCGTTTCCCCTTTCCCTTCCCCGGCTAGGCGGCCACCACGACACCTCCTGGTCCCCCCATTCTAGGGTTTCTCTCTGTGGTGTGTGATAAAATGCTGGCCTTTCTCAATCAACCACTCACCAGGCTGGGTGGACAACTCCGCTAACAAGGTTTCAATACGAGGAGGGGGAAGAGCCTGGCCCGAGCCCCTTCCTCCGCACCAGCATGTTGCCAGTGGCTGCTCTGCCACCCTGTTGGGCCACTTGCCCTTTCTCTAGAGATGATGGCGATGGGAGGTGGCTGCGAGGGAGAGGTAGGATCTCTCCTGGTCTGGCCTCCCTTGGAAGTGGTCTCACCCCCCGCCCCCGCCCCTACCCTGCCCCTTGCAGGGAACCAGAGCATTTTGGGGCTGGGATGCCTTGCAGCTGGCATGGGGGGGCACCTCCTCCTGTGCCATCTCCTCCTCCTGCCCTCTGGCTCACCTTGGCCGCCGTCCCTGCTTCATAGAAAGCCTTGTCTGCAGGAACAATTTCCGTGTGGCGCAGCAAGGAAATGGACAGCTTGGCTGCCACTGTGTCCTGGAGGGAAGAGGAAGACTTGATCAGCCCCCAAACATCTGCCCTGGGGCCTCGGTTCCTCTGCGGCCCCCCTCCTTCCCCAATAAAAGCCACGCCGCAGTGAGCAGGCCCAGCGTGGTACCACTAGGAGAGGGCCGGCTAGTGCCGGCAGAGAAAGGGGGTCAGCCTGTTTGGGCCTAGAGCAGCCGTGGGCCTGGGCTGCTCGCTAGAGGTGCACCCCCCACCCTACCCGCTCTAGCAGCAAGGAGGAGCATTCCTCTGCCAGGCAACCCTTTGCCCCCCCCCAGCTCCAGCCTTCTGTGGAGCCCGGGGAAGTGGGGTGAGAGACAGGCGAGGCAAGGGGTCCCTGGGACGCAACCCCCCCCCCCACGGACTCACCAGCTGCTTGACACTCTGGGCTGCAGACCGTGTGGCGTAGTAGTGAGAGACCAGCAGCATGGTCTCAAACTCCTCGTGAGCAGGGGTATTGGCCTCGCTGGACTTCACCAGGTTTTCGCACTGCAGGAAACAAAGAGAGTCTCTGAGCTTGTCTGGGAAGTGCCCAGTGCTTTTGCCAGGGCCTGGAGAGAGAGTGTGTGTGTGGGGGTGTGTGGGTGTGGGTGTGTGTGTGTGTGTGGGTGTGGGTGTGGGCCTGGAGAGAGGCGGACCTCGGGCTGCCATGAGAGCCCCTGACTCGGTTCACGGAGGATCCAGGCAGAGGGCTGCCAGGCAGGAAGGGGTGGGAGGTGCTCAAGAGCGGGGCCCTCCTTTTGGGGGCCTGGGCCTCTCCCGGAGGTCCGTCCCTTCTGGGCAGAGCAGCGGAGAGCCGAGGGGTGCTGCCTCTCGCCACCCACCGCAGGGGGAGGCGGCAGCCCAGGAGCACCGCTTGGGTGCCTCGTCCTGCTTCCGGGGACAGGGGGCACTCACCAGGCTGAAGAGGACCTCCCGCAGGTCAGCCCAGCTGTGGTAGGCCTCCGCCCGGTTCAGTCCTGGCTCGTTCACCATCTCCACAAAGAGCCGCTTGTAGATGTTGAAATTCTGGCAGGGGAGATGGCAGAAGGTCAGCCTGGCCATGGCATCACCCCCCTGCCCCTGGGTGGTCCAGCTCCCCCCAAGCACACCCTCCCTCCCCCCACCTACCTGGGCGTTGGCCGGCGTGCCGTGCTGGATGTAGAGGCGGAGGGCCTTGTCCCAGCTGCCCTCCCGGATGAGGTGGGTGGCGTAAAGAGCCACATACTTGTGCAGCACCTTGTAGTTCTAGGGCGAAGGGGAGGGAGGCAAAGGCTTCAGGAAGCCCTAAGAGGAGGGCGAGGGGTTCCCGTCCCATCCTTCCCTCCCCACCCCATGCAGAAAGACCCCTTTCCCAGGGAGAAAGCAGCCTTCCCCTTCCCAGCCCTTGACAGGGGCCTCGCCCGAGGCTCGGCTCCCTCCTCCTCCTCCTCCTCAAGACGGCATGTCCTGGGTGCTCCGGATCAGACCTGGCTTCAGAGCCCTCCAGGCTGGCGCTGAGGGAGCAAACCCGTTGGGTTCCAAGGGGGGTGGGTGAGGGACAGAGCTGGGCTGTGGCTTGGGCCGAGAGGCAGGCCTTGGGCTCCTTTGTAGATCCCCTTGCGGTGGTTCTCCCCCCGCCTCCCCCTTGTGGGAAAGAGGCCAAGGGTCAATGGGGAGGGGGGTCGACAGGGAGGGGGGCCAACGGGGTCCCCAGCCAGGAGGAGGTACCTGCGTGGCTGCCGTCTCCAGGCATTTCTCCCACTCTTCTCTCTCCACGTACAAGTCCAAGGCAGCCATCACGTCCACCCCCACCAGCTGCCAGAGAAAACACCTGCTGCAACCGGCTTATGCCCGCGACCGGCCCCCGGCCTCATTTCTCCTTCTTCCCCCCCCCACACCCGCAAAGCACCTAAGGCAACCCCACTGCCCCTGCCCGGCCTGGGGAAGGCCGACCGCGGGCGACAAGAGCAGAGGCGGAGAACAGGGCTCTGCACACCAGCTACCGCCAATGCCTTCGTGCAGGTGAAAAAGGACCCCTCCCCGGAGCTGCCGGGAGCAGAGCAGCCCTCTCTGAAAAGGAGAGGTGCGGGGGGGGGATGGCTCTCTGGAGGGCACCCGGGGTGGGGTGGAGGGGCAAGGGTGCATTTCCAGTGCTAATGCTCGACTGGGGAAAGACAGCAGAGGAGGGGTGGGGGGGTTAGGGTTCCTGGAGCCTCTCCCCTCTGCCCCCCCTCCTCCCAGTTGGCTTGCCCCTCCCCCAGGCTGGTCTTGATAACCCTCCCAAAAGGGCCCGGTTTCAGTGGGTGCTTCCATGAGGGGTCTTGGACAGGATGGTGGGAAACGGGACAGACCGGCGGCTGCACAAAAAAGTGGCCACTTCCGCCTCCCGCCATGAAACGGGCAGCTCCTGGATCCGCAGAGCCAGCCTGCGTCCTTGAGCTTCTCGCCCCTCCCTGGGGGCTCCCTCCCTCCCTCCCCGCATCCTCTCACCGAGTCCACTTTGCCCTGGTCCTTGAGGTACGCCTTGTAGTGCTGGTCCACATACTCCTCGTACCTGTGGTGGGGCAGCAAGGGGGAGGCGCCTCTTGTCATCTGCCCAAGAAAAGCCCCTGCGGGGGCTGGGGGGGCAGTGATGGGAGGAGGCCCCACCTCCCAGCATGGTGCTGACAAAGAGGCAAGCATCCCCAAAGACCCCCCAGGGGACTTGGAGATGGTGGGTGGGGGGGGGAGACTCCAGAGAGGGCAAGGTCCTGGCCGGCTGAAGAGCCTCCGCTTGCTCGTCAGCAGTTCCCCTGGACACCCCGGTCCCCCCTCCCACGCAGGCCATGCCAAGGAGACCTTTCGGGTTGGGGAGGGTGGCCGGAGCCCTCTGCTCCTGCTGCCTCTGCAGTGCCCCGTCCCCCCCAAAGGAGCAATCAGGGAGGAAAGGGGGGGGAAATACCGGGGGTCCAGCTCCTTGGCCACCCGTTTGGCCTTGTTCCATTCTTCTCCCTCCATGAAGGCGTCAATGGCTTCCTTGATCAGGTCCAGGTTGAGATACAGCTCGGCTGCCTGGAGAGGAGGAGGAGGAGGAGGAGAGCCAGGGTCCACGGCGGGGCTCCGGGGAAACACCAGGAGGCCTCGGGTGGGTGTGCCCCACGGAGGCTTAGACTGGAAACGGGGAGGCCAGCCCCCCTCCCTGCCCCCACCCCACCCAGTCCAGAAGTGCCTTTTACCACATTGAACTGGCCAATGCTGACCAGCTGGGGTCCCACCGTCCGCATCACCTCCACGCTCCGAGGCTGGCCGAGGAATTTGATGGCTAGTTCAGCGGCCTGTGATGGGCAGGTGGGTGGGCGGGGCGGGGGGAGGAAAAATGGAAGTCACCAGGTGCCTCTACCCTGATCCCCAGGGCCCGCAGCCAGGAGCTGGGCTGCCCCACAGGACCCCCGAGCGCACCTGTTCGGGGCAAGAGCCTCCGTCACCCCAAGGCCTCTCTCTGAGGGTGAAAGGCAAGCAGGGCACAGCACACGGCCCCCACCCCCATTGACTCTCCAGTGGCTTGAAAAGATGGCTGGCGCTCACATTGCCTGAAACTCTGTCTGGGGGCTGAGAACAGGTGGGGAAGGAGTCAAGGCCTACCTTCATCCAGCATTTCTCCATCAGGGCCCGGTTGCTCAGATCCTGCACCTTCAAGTAGCAGTCCACGGCTCGGGCATATTCCCCGGCCTGCTCCCATTCCCGGGCTTGCTCCAGGATGCCCTCAGGGCCCCTAAAAAAGGCCAAGGACACCTTTGCAGGGGCCAGGCAGACGGGGGGTGTGGGCCACCCTCTCCCGCTGCTCCACCCTGGAGCTCAGGAGCCAAGAATCCTCCTCCTCCTCCTCCTCCTCCTCTCCAAGGGGCTTTGGGTTGGGCCGCCAGGGGTTATGGGGTGGGGGCTCCAGAGGCTCCCACGGGGTTGGCGCCCGCCCCGCTCACCTGGGTCCCTTCTTGGCCACCTCCCGCTCATACTCCTCCTGCAGGGCTTCCAGCTCCCCAGGCAAGTACTCTTTGCAGATCCGGAGGGCGTCGGTCCACATACCGGCCTCCTGGGCAGGAGGAAGGAAGCAGGGTCAGAGGCCTCCTTGCCTGCGACTGCCTCTTGGCCTGGCGCTGAGCTCCAGGGCCCCCCATGTCCGGCTAGGGAAGGATGAGGGGTTGCGGAGCTTTCAGAGAAAGGACAGCTAAGAGTGCAGCCCTCTTCCCCTCCCCACTGCGCAGCACAGCACAGATCAGGCAGGCGGCCACCTCTCTCGGGGGTCTGCCTGAGGCAGGTCTAGCCCTGCGCATGCTCACTGGAGGGGCTCGTCCGCGCCATCAGCTTCAGAGGCCAGCACCTTGGCACAGAACCAGGGGCAACAACAAGCGGAAGCATCCTCCCCAAGCCCTGGTTCAAGCCGACACCTCTTCAGCAAGCAACCTGTTCTTCCGCGGCTCCGTACTCCCCCTCTTGAGAGCAGGCTTGCGGGGGTGGTGGGGGTGGTGCTCAGGCCCCTGTAGAGTTTTGCCCTGCGCGGCTGAACCCATTGGGCTGAGTGGTCTCCCATGAGCAAGGGCAGGGCTGAGTGGGGCAAGGGAGGGGCTGGGGGAGGTCAGTAGCATGCCACCACTCCCCCGGCCCTCTCGCCAATGCACGGAGGAGTCGTCCTCCCTGCAGAGCGGTGCGGCTGCAGCGGCGGCGGCTGCTCCTGGAGCCTACCTTGTAGTGCTTGACGGCCAGGTCCAGGCGCTGAGCCCGCAAGAGGAAGGCCTCGGCCTTCGGGAACTCCTTCTGCTTGAACGCAGCGTCCGCCTGGCCCACCAGGACAACGACCACGCTGTCGGGGTCATGGGCCTCGGCCACGCGCTGAGCGGCCGCCCAGTTCTGGGCATGGGCGTACCTGGGCGAGCAGAGGGTGTTCGTCCGCGGAGAGTCCCAGGCAAGCCGT